CATTGACTGTTTATGGTTGAGTGTGGGCGTGTAGAGGTTAGAACCTGAGGCGGGACCTCGTGCGCAAACTCTGACGTGCGGCTGTGATTTATAAAGTAAAGATGCGCAGAAACGTGCGTACGCACGGTTTTATAAATTTGAATTATTTTTGGCGTAGGCCATTTCCGCCTTTTGGTTGTACATTCATTTTTAGTATGGTTTCCACGCAATCCTTTATAAATGAGACCCCTGGTCCTTTGAAGTGAGACTGACTGCCAGCTTTTGCGAGGTAGTCAGCTCCCTTGGTACCACTGATGCCTGTATGTCCTGGTACCCATTTAACAGTAACACTGTTGTCTCTCCCCAGTTGGTTGACTGCTTTGACACACTCCCAAACCAGTAATGATGTAAAGTGTGGCCCTCGGAGAGCTTTAATAGCAGCTTGGCTATCTGTTAGGATGAATATTTCCTTCTGTGTACACTGAAGGTCTTTGAGAGATGCCACACACTGGTAGATTGCATATATCTCAGCTTAAGATACAGTTGCAAAACAACCTAGTGGGTATTTATGCTCTCTCTTACTATGGTTGTGCAAAATCCGCACCCCTGCACCTCCTGACCCCTTCAGAAGGGATCCATCTGTAAAACAGTAGAAATGATTGGGAGACATGTCCGTTGTAGAGAGGTTACTCCAGGCAGACCTGTCTTCTATCTCTGTCTTAAAACTTGGCTCAAAATTGTATTTTTTTTACCATTCTGTCTCCAGGTCCTGCAGTTACAGGAACAACAGCAATTGCCCAGTTCCGATTCTAGTGTGCTGTGAGGCAGATATGTTTTTCCACCTACCAGACTGGCGTAGCCTTACTGCACTGGATGCGGCCTCCCCTAAGATATGTAATTCTAGTGGAGCCAGGTCCAGTAGGACTTCCATGGCTGCCGTSGGTGTTGTTTTGATGGAACCTGTGATGCTCAGGYAGGCCAKTCRTTGCACACATGGGTGAGCATYACTCTTGCCACCCCAACTTGGACTTGAACCCACCACACTAAAGCAGCATAGCATAGCATGAGGCAGACTATGGCCRCCCCATGTAAGAGCACCAACATTTCTATTGTGCAAGGATAGAGGCACCTGAAAAGATGGGAGTGTCATGATGGGATTTGAGAGATTTTTGATAATGGAGTTTATAGTTAGGTTGTARTTTTGTGTAGTTTAGTGTTTAATCAGTTTTAGTGTATTTGAGACAAAACARTGAGGTGATGTTTAAATGTGAAACTTTAGGTTACTATCATAACCCCGGTTGTGAGTGTCTCACATTGGGTGAGACACTCACCCTTGACGTGATGTAATCAGAAGCTCCTATTAATTACACCAGTCAGGACTGGCTGGAAATAAACATGCCAGTGTCAAGAATGGCAATGTTCATCCCCCTATACTGTATATAGGGTTGTTCCTGCACTGACAATTTATTAAAAAATGATCACATCTTCCTGGAAAAATTTGAGCAAGGAGGGTGATTTGGTGAGACAAACACTCATACTACTCAGAAAACTGGGGTTACGACAGTAACCTTAAGTTCTCTTTTGTAGCGCCACTCAGAGGTCCGATTAAATGGGGGAACAGCGCAGCAAGCCAACCTARTCCAGAACACTGCTGACTGGGCCAATGGAACAAAGCCAATCAGAACTGAGTTCTGAAAAACTGAGTATGATGTTGATTTTTAATASAATGTTCATTCTATTGTAAAAAATGGCACACACCAGTCGCTGTTTTCAAGCTACTGTACAGTCTTTACCAATAACAATGAAAAAAGCATTCAATTAATCTACTTTATTGTATAYCTWWATAATCTCAAACACAAAAACACAAATACTAATAMTTTCTTATCTTACCAGCACTCATACCATAGTCAGTGATGAGGATGGGTTCCTGTAAGGGGATATCAGGAACAGGTAAGACGCTTTTGGAYGCTTTGGTTTTGTGGGTTTTGCGTGGAAATTTGTTCTTCTTCAGCTGAGAGCTTTTGAAGTGAGAAGCAATGTGYGTTTTCCTGTGGCCGGATGTACGAAAGACCTTTTCACAGTGAGGACAAGGGAAAGGTCGCATACCTGAGAGCAAGTTGAGATGAGGAGAAAAAAAAACACTTAGGGAAGATTATGATAATTACATAAAATAGGGAATAACAATAACGTCAATAAGTTCACAAAAGTGGGAAAAAAAGCATATAAACTAATCTTAATTGATATTTTTCTAGAAAAAACACTAATTAAAGCTTTTTTAATATTATTTAAATGGCTACGGCTACATTTTGCAGGAACAGGTTATAAGTGAATGAAACCAAATTAAAAATAAGTAAAAATGACAACAAAACTATTAGCACAAGGAACTGTTGAGAAATACACCTGAAGTATTTATAAAAAGCTTTAGCATTGAACAAACATAAAACCAGCTCTGTAGAGACTGCCTGACATCAATGTTGACATCAAATTTAGCAACAAAAAGTAAAAAAAAACTGCATAGAAACATTATATTTATCAGGATACCGCTCTGCTTGTTTTTACTAATTCAATAATTTTAGGTTGAAGGATGGGTTCCTTGACCTCAAACAATAAATACAGAATTGCAACATATTAATGCAATTTATACCTAGCTACAGCAACATTGCAACATTTTCCCAGGTCCAGCTCTTGCAGCCTGTTTTACAATTTATCACAACAGCCTACATCTGAATTGTAAATGATACAGGCTTCTAGGAAACAGGAAACAAAAACCATGAGGACTTGAGCTTCTACAGCTTAAAGTGCCTGTGACATGAATTTTCTATCCTACAAATACACAAAATCAGGAGGAAGCATCTTAATTTGTAAGAKATTTTGCAGAATAGACACAAATTTACGCATTTTTTTCACATAAATGGCATTTTTTTTTTTTGGTTTTGAAGTAAAACCAACGAGGAACTCCCTGGTAAAACATGAAACCAATAAGCAAGTGGCCRACTTGTTGTAAAATCCCTATTATGGTGAAGTAATATTGCTACAACTGTGAGTTTGCACTGCTGTCTTGTGGATAACAAGATAAGAACAGCCTGGATCAGAGAGGTTCTCTGCTATCGTCTGTGTATTACTCAATGTTGCAAAGATCTGTTAACATGCAGGCGTTACTCTTCGTCTTCAGAAAGGAGYGAAAAACAGCAGTCTGAGAGGGAATATCAAGTGACATTTGCAACTGTATATCTTAGAGGCATTCCTATTTATTACAAGAATTTAAAGTYACAAGCACTTTAAGGACACATTTTCTTTCTTGAGTCACTTGAGTGACCTCCATAGAAAGTCAATGTAATGCAAAAAAATCTACATTTTACTTCAGCTTTCAGTAAAATAATTGTTCACCTGTGTGCAGCCGCATGTGTACTTTCATGCTGCCTGAAGTGGAGAAACAYTTCAAACAGCACTGACACTCGAAGGCCTTAATACCAGTGTGTGTTTTCATATGTGCCGTGAGAGTACTCTTCACAGCAAATGCTCTGAAACACTGTTTGCACTTGAAWGGCTTCTCGTGGGTGTGGATGCGGATGTGGCGAACAAGGTCACTTGGTTTTTTGAACTCTTTGGAGCAGTACGGGCAGCCATGCCAGCGAACACCGTCCTCCTCCCTGATTGAGCCTGAAATCAAAACAAAGGTGACAAGATTCAGACACACTTCATTTTTAGCATTTATTTTGTTGCAGTCTAATGCTAAACTCATTTTAATTATTTTTCCGCCAATAATTTTTACAATGTAACCTGTAATGACAAAAATTTAATCAGAACTGTATACAGTTTTGTGAATAAATAAATTGAAGAAATTGGACATAATTTGAAAGGCACACACTTGTCTACTGAAGGTCTCCTAGCTGTCAATCAGAATAAAAACCAAGTCAGGATGTCAAAGGTACAATCTCCCGATCTCTGAGACAGGATTATTGTGAGGCCCTTCTTGATAGGGAGGAACGTTGGTTTGAGAGAGGAGTAAAAGAAGCCATTTTTGTAAAGAAAGACCGTCCATCATTAAACAGAGGTGGGGGCCTCCGTTTTCAGCTGTCCCCCCTCCTACAGCGCTGTCATTGGCAGTATCACTCCACCCTCTGTTAACAATAGGTATTAATTAAGGTGAACGATAGCCATGTGATGTGAGTATCAGTCACCTGTGAACCATAGCCATGTGATGTAAGTATGAGTCACCTGTGAACGATGCCATGTGAAGTGAGTATCAGTCACCTGTGAAACATAGCCATGTGATGTGAGTATGAGTCACCTGTGAACCATAGTCATGTGAGGTGAGTATCAGTCACCTGGAGGCAGGACTTAAAAGCCTGCATTTTGCCTGAAACTCTCAGACTGAAGAAGTCTCTTGGAAGAGAGACGAAACGTTTCATTAAAGAAGAACCCGTCCAGAGGACCTATACAATTTTTTTTCCTTTTGAGGCCAACAAAGATTTAAGAGAGGTTACAAAAAATGTCTGGTGCACTGAAGGTTCCTCAGAGTTTAGTAAACCCCAGCATGGTCAAATAGAAGAAATTTGGCACAACCAGGACTCCTCCAAGAGCTGGTCACCTGGCCACATTGAGCAGTCGAGGCAAGGGGAGTTTAGTGGGAGGAGTGAACAAGAATACATCGTTCACTCTGACTGGGCTTTAGAGAACCTATGTAGCACTGTTTTCCAAAACAGAACTACAGGCCTCCCCTGAACTGGTTTTTATGACAAAGTGGTTTGTTGGAAACTTCTCAGAGCTAAACACTTGAAAGCTGCTTAAATGACTCTCAGACAGTGAGGAAGAAGATTCTCTTCGGCCTCAATTTAAGTGTTATGTCTGGAAAAAACCAGGCACTGCTCATTACCATCCACACACTGAAGCATGGTGGTGGCAGATCGTGCTGTGGAGGTACTTTCCAGCAGCAGGGACCTGTAGGCTAATCAAGTTAAGGAAAAGTTTAATTAAGTAAAGTACAGGAGAGCTCAATATTATGAACATCTCCATCTTCTTCCGCTTATCCGTAGTCCGTTTCGGAGGCAACAGGTCCAGGAGAGAAACCCAGACATCCCTCTCTCCAGTGACACTTCCAGCTCGTCCTGGAGGACCCCGAGGCGTTCCCAGGCCAGAGAGGATATAAAATCCTTCCTGTGAATCCTGGATCTTCCCCGGGGTCTCCTGCCAGTGGGACATGCCCAGAACACCTCTAAAGGGAGGCGTCCAGGAGGCATCCTAATCAGATAAACCACCTCAACTGACTCCTTTTGATGTGGAGGAGCAGAGGCTCTACTCTGAGCTTCCCCTGGATGACAGATCTCCTCACCCTATCTCTAAGGCTGAACCCGGCCACCCTATGAAGGAAGCTCATTTCAGCTGCTTGTGTCCAGGATTTTGTTCTTTCGGTCATGATCCATGCCTCATGACCACAGGTGAGGGGTGGAACACAGACAGACCAGTAAATCCAGACCTTTGTCTGGGTTGCTGTTAAGAGCGATCCAGTCCCTGTAGAACCAAAGCTGTGTCAGCATTCTTGGCACAAAGTCGAGCTCCGCCAGGGCTGTCCCTTGTCTCTGATCCTGTTTGTAGTGTTTATGGACAGGATCTCAAGGCGCAGTCATGGAGAGGAGGGGGTCTGGTTTGGGAACCACAGGGTCTCATCTCTGCTGTATGCAGATGATGTGGTTCTGTTAAAGTCTTCAAAGCAAAACCCTCGGGATGCACTGGGGCTGTTCGCAGCCGAGTGTGAAGCGGCTGAGATGAAGGTCATGGTTCTCAACAGGAAAAGGGTGGAATGTCCCCTCTGTGTCAGGAGAGAGTCTCTGCTTCAAGTGGAGGAGTTTAAATATCTGGGTGTCTTGTTCATGAGTGATGGTAGGATGGAGCGGGAGATGGATCGATGGATTGAGGCCTCATCCTCAGTAATCGTTGCTTTGGTCAGTCGTGGTGAAGAAAGAGCTGGAAACATACTCCATGCGAACTGCCGACGTCGTCGCGGGTTGTCGCAGTTTAATGACGAAAATTACGTCACCGGGCTTCGCAGCGTCATGTCGACAGCCCCTTTTGGCACAAGCCCCCGGCAGACTTTTTTTGACCCCCCTCCCTTGTCGACGGTTATGTGTGATTGGTCTGAAATGAAAGCGCTCGGACGGACACAGCTGAAGAAAAAAAAACAAAAACTCGCTTCTGACTAGAGCAGACTGTTTTGAGCAGTTTTAAAGAAAGACAAATCGAGAAAAACTCACGCGTGTTTGTGCTGACAGCGCTATGCGCTACATTTACTTCAACCATTCGGTTAAAAAAAAGGAAAAAAAAAACCGACTCGCTCCCCGAGCCAACCAGGAAGCAGAGTTTTATAAAGATAGTCAAACCATGAAAAACTCATGAATGGAGATAAACAGACATAACAGATAAACAGATAAACAGGCACGGAGAAATCTGAAACTGTGGAGCTTTTTAACCAGGACAAATGTGGATAAAAATCCGTCGGGTGAGTGACCTTTTTTCTGCATTGCTGTTGAGGGGAGAAATTCTGACTTTTTTTTCTGCATTATCGACTGTTGCGGGGGAACTCCATGCATTGACGAACRTTTCRGGGAGGGGGGTTTCTCGAATTTGGTGCGGGGGTTGTCGTAGGGACTATGAAAGGTCTGTGCGAAAACGACTGCCGAACAACCGTGCGTCGACCCGTCGGCGTCAGAGCGAGTATGTTYCCACTTTTAGGGACAAGTGTGAATGTCCCAGAGTGACTCTAGTGGCATTTGACTATTATAATGGAGTACTAAATGTATATTATTGAGGAAAAAAGGAAGTACAACAATTTAAACAAATGGAGAATTACATTTCCACAAAACATCACGTGTTGTGTGCAGCACTTTGGCCAATGGCCATTGTTTTTATATGAAATCAATTTTATTTCATTTTTAACACCATAAAATATGAATGAGATCCTTATTTTCTGTTACCAGTTTCAAGCTTCATTTTTCATTAAAATCGAAATCAAAATAATAATCTCAACTCACATACCAGGCATTTGTATAGGTTTCTTGAAAATGCTCCTCTTTTTCTCCCTTGGTGATTTGTCTGGAACCTGCTCTTTCTTGCTCTCTGCAGCTGCGRCCTCGGTGTTCTGATTCTGCGGCTCTCTGGATGGGGTGTCGCTCTGTGGCTGGACAACATTCAGTCCGCTGTTCTCCAAAGCTTGCTGCAACAACAAAGCAGCCTCATCACAGCTTAAATAGGACAGGMACAACAAGTAATTGCAACTGTCAAAAACAGATTTGAAGAAAACAAATTAGGTCTGTTGAGGAAAACGGAAAAACAAAATTTACATTATTATTGCTGATATCATTGCTTCGATAACTCCAAGCAAGGCCTGGAATGTGGAAAAAATTTGGCTGGGAGAAAAAATAAAGCTTTAAAGCAAAGCCAAAGCTCAGTGAAATTCACATTTGAATGTTTTGGCGTGCAAAAGTCTGTTTTAACTTTGCAGTCACGGATGAAGTTTTCTGATRGAAATGATGCCCTTATCTTTCCACTGCTTAGTTGATGTTCCCACTATAGTGAAAAATCCTGCTATGCAACCATTAAACAAGCACATTAACAGAGCGTATCAATTCAGATGCATAGTTGCACAAAGATTTCAGAACATTTATGGAAACCTTTATTTTCCTCTCTTTGTTTGACATTTGCACATAAATCAATTAGACACAAATGACCTCAAAGTCTCAACCACTTTTTTGAAACACTTTTCCAGAAAATCTATCAAAACAAGTACTTTTTTAACAAACATATTTGTATGGTAACAATCTTAAGTGTGTTTTAACTCACCTGCAGGATGTCCTGGTTGATAGCAGTTTCCATGGCAATGGCTGTCTCTGGAGGCGGAGGCTGGGCCGTCTCCCCGCTGACCTGCTCTGACAGCTCCAGGAGCTGCTGGATGACATCTGTCACCCCCTCACCACCCTCTGATGCCCCTGCAGTCTGACCTGGTATCTCAGTCTCCTACAGTCAGAGGGACAGGGTAAAGGAGTGAGAAAAGAGCAACACAAAAGATGAGAATTGTATCAAAAGGAACAGGAGAGGCCAGAAGTTGATGGTTGACTAACTTTTATTAGAGACTCTGTGAAGCATAAAATAAGCTAAGGATGGAGTGTTAGTGAACAGAATGTAAATTCCTGGCTATGGCTACATCTCTCAAGTTGCTATTTAGAATATATCTGACCCATCACATCGAAATGAGGATTAAGTCTAAAAGTGGTTTAAGGAGAAATAGGCAAATAGAGTTTTGATTTAAACATTTGCAAAAAGTGCATTTTGTCAAAACATAATGAATTAATGCCTTATCAATGTATCATATGAMTGAACTGTCTGAAATATAATCATAAAACAATTTTTAAGCTTTTTTTGAGCAGTAACAACAAAAACACAGATTTTGATCAAAAACGCCTTAATATTTTGAGATTTTCCCTGTGAGCTAGAAATGTTTATTCCAGCTGGGAAATCTCAATATTCTAATAATATTTGGTTTCCTCTTTATAAGGACATCAAAATTTCCTCATTTAAATTACATAAAATTAGGATTCAGACCAAGTATTGTTGTATTATTGTAACCAACAAGACAAATTAAGGCATATCTCTGGATCCACTTATGATATCAGAATGATTCAGGTATCAAAATGTATCTTTCAAAGCCAGACATCTGAAAATGTAGTTAGGTCATTTTGACCAAAGTTGACTTACCKGTAATCCTCATTTCAATATGATGGGTCACATATTTTCTATTTTTAGCCACTCCCTTTAAGGATCACTACAGCAGATAATATACCTCCATCTCACCCTCAGCATCAACATCAGTTTTTGAAAACTAAAACCTGCAAGAAAATGTCTTCAAATAATTTATTTTCTTGATGATAATGATCCCATTGCACCATGGTCATTAGGCGGGCACAGAGGAAAGATGTCACCACAGACTGTTATTGTTACAACCCCAACTGCAACGAAGTTAGGAGTTGTAAATGGTAAATGGTCTATACTTACAGTGGAGGAAATAGGTATTTGATCCCTTGCTGATTTTACAAATATGCCCACTTACATAGACAAACAATCTATAATTTTAAGGGTAGGTTAATTTTAACAGTGAGAGATAACTGTTGGTGCAATAATAAGAAAACAGAAGAAATACAAAAGGACTGTCAATCCACATCGATCTGGGGTTCCATGCAAAATCTCACCTCTGGAGTATCCTTGATCATGAGGAAGGTGAGATCGTAATGTTATGCATATAACTACTGTTCCCTGAAGGAAAGGAACGAGGTACAACACATCATGTATGGGAAACCACGCCCCTGCATGTCCTGGCTGAAGCCACCTCTAATCACGCGTTTAGGCAGGTGACGTGACAGATGTCAGGCTCCGCCTGCACATATATACTGTCCGCCATCACGGTCACTCCTCAGTTTGGTAACTGCTCTTCACCGAGCCCAGCTGTGCAGTGGGGCCGCCATGTGTTATACCTCGTTCCTTTCCTTCAGGGAACAGTTGTTATATGCATAACATTACGTTCCCTTTCAGTCASATCACTTGGTACAACACATATTATGGGACATATATAAATGCCCCGCAGAGCAGCACCAAACTTGGGTCATAATAACATGCTAGTGCAGCACTTCAGACCCGGCAGAGAGCACAGRGTGAGCCACTGAAGGGGCTGTCACATCTAAGCAATAAAACTGAACAAATGTGTGCGGTGAAGACCAACTGGCCGCAGCACAGATGTCACTCACAGGTACTCCTTTAAAAAGGGCCCATGACGCTGCTACACCCCTGGTGGAGCGAGCTCTCACACCAGATGGGACTGGGAGACCCTTGCTGCTGTAAGCTAAAGAGATAGCCTCCACAATCCAGTGGGAGAGTCTCTGTCTGGATAGAGCCCTGCCCCTGAGTGGGTTAGCAACACAAACAGTTGATCACATGACCTCACCTCCTGTGTGCGGTCAATGTAAATATACAATGCACGTAACGAGCACAAAGAATGCAACCTCCTTTRCTCCTCAGATGCAAAATGGGGAGGATAAAAACTAGAAAGCTCAATAGACATGGAGCTGTAGTTAGAAGGTATCACCTTAGGGAGATACGTTGAGTTTGAATGCAGAACCACCTTGGAGCCATCAGGTGAAAACTGAATACAGGAGGGATTTACAGACAGAGCATGGAGATCCCCAACCCACTTAACAGTTGTTAGTGCAAGAAGCAACACAGCTTTATATGAAAGGAACTTCATATCCACAGACTCCAAGGGCTCGGGGGGGGGGGGGGGGTGAAAGCGTGCCACTTGTAGGTATAGAAACCTTCGTGGAGGGCGCTCTCGCCGTCTGGATAGTTTGCACCACTGCGTGGGAAGGTCTCTGGCTAGCAAACAGGACCTTTCAGCAGGTAGGCGTGCAGCCTCCACAACTCTGGGTGTGGGTGAAATATCTCCCCCCCCTGCCTGAAAGAGGAGATTTTGGCGAAGATGAAGTTGCCAGGGCTGAGCTGCCAGCAGGCTGATTATCTCGGCGTACCAAGACTTCGCTGGCCTATGGGGCGCCACCAGAATCAGAGACAGACCCTGTCTGCGCACCCTCTCTAGTACAGGCAGTATCATCTCCACTGGGGGAAATGCATACGTTGGGCCATGGGTCGGCTAGAGCACCCACCCCCAGTGGGGCGTTTTGATCCGTTATGGAAAAGAACAGAGGGCAGAGGGTGTTGGCCCCTGTGGCAAAGAGATCCACTGCTGCCCTGCCAAACAGGTTTCAAATCTGGTCCACCACTGAGGGATGAAGCCTTCACTCCCTCACTAGAGGTCCGCCCCTGGAAAGTAGATCTGGGCCCAGATTCAGYCTCCCAGGAACGTGAGTGGCCCTGATAGACAGGAAATGCACGCTGCACCACTGCAAGAGAGTGTGTGACAGTTCCAACAGGGGAAGAGACCGAGTTCCTCCCTGTCTGTTTATATATGACACTACGGTCGTGTTGTCTGTTCTAATCAGAACATGTTGGTTCTTCAGAACCGGACAAAAATGTTTCAGTGCTAACAGAACTGCTAACAATTCCAGGCAGTTTATGTGGAGTCTGGACTGCTTCAGAGTCTAAACCCCCTCACTGCGGCACCATCGCACAGAGACCCCCACCCCACCAGGGAGGCGTCTGTGGATACCACCTTGCGAAAGAACACTCTCCCTATCGGTGAGCCTCGGCAYAGCAGGCCGGGTTCCCTCCAAGGRCTGAGAGCCATCATGCAGGAGGCAGTTATTGTTAGCTTTCTGTGGYGGTGACGTAATGCACGCAGCCGGTGAGAGCGGGACCAGCGCTGAAACCGGCGCATTTTTAGCAGGCCGAGTGGTGCTACTGCAATCATAGAAACGATCACGCCCAACAGTTGCAGAACGGTCTGAAAATGCAGTTTGTGTCCCAGTTTAAACTGAGCGAGGCAGCAGTGAAATGCAGCTACTCTGTTCTCTGAAAGATGCGCTCTGCTAGACAAGGAGCATATTTCTAACCCGAGGAAAGAAGGAAAGAAAACTGCTGACTCGGAGTCAATGAGCTTTTCTGGAAATTCACAGAAAAACCCAGAGCCTGAATGTGCGACAGAACCTGAGACAGATGCTCTGTTGCCTGCTCCTTGGCTTTGAAGGAAGCGTGGTGGGCCCGCTCACTCCATGGTTGTGAGACGGGGCCAAATACGCTGCTAGGGACGGCTCCATAGAAGGAATGATCACTAGCCCAGATTTTTCAACTTCCTCCAGATCCAAATACTGTCCATAACCGGGTATTGTGATGCGGGCGGACAGAGGTTTGCTCCAGCAGGACATCAACTCCGAGACGAAGTCTGGGAACATGGGAAGACAGTTCTCCAACGCGGCCGGTTCAGTAGGGAGAAAAAACCCTGTGAACCGCGACGGTTTTTTGCAGGAGGGGGAGCAGGCCACCCCACCTCCAGTTTCTGAGCCGCACCACGACACAAGGAGAGAAAAGACGTGTCCTCCTGGTCTGCCACCGCAACAGCGGGGGCATCCAGACCCGCGCCGGGTTCCTCATCGTCTTCCGACAGATGAACATCCAGGCCAATATCCGGCACGTCCTCAACTCTCTGGTGGAGGCCCAGCTGAAACTGGGAAGCCTCCCCTTCATCTTCGGCTAACCCCTCCATGTACTCTACGCGGTCCGCTCAGCTGGAAGCAGGGAATTCGACCGACAAATCCTCCTCGTCAGACTCAGACGGAACCGGGTTTCTGGACTCGGAGAGGAGTGGGTCTTGCCGTGCGACCGCAGTTTTGCCCAGCACTTTTTCTACAAACTTAACCCGTCTCTCCAGGGTTGGGCAACGAAGCTAGTGACAAAAAACACATGCTTCGGGCTCCGCCAACGCTCTCYGAGCGTGAACGGTCCCAAGACAGCCTCATGCTGGTCCTTCTCATGGAGCGAGAAGCCGTGCCCAAGGACAGGGGCAAACCGACGACTTCTGCTCCTTCTGAAGTAATTTTGTGCTCATCCCGAACCACAAAATCTTTTATTTTGTTGAGTTAAAAGGCTACTCAATGCTAGCGCTCCGTGGGCGGACACAATTACCTGTAGGCAGCGGTGGCTGACTCCAACAAAAGCAGTTAAGCTAACTTTAAGAGCCTTCGAACAAGCAAAGCTAACTAGCAGCAGCTAATTAGCCAGATTGGAAGAGGTGTTCTTAGCGAGGTAAAGAGCGTAAGAACTGAGGAGTGACTGTGATGACGGACAGTATATATGTGCAGGCAGATCCTGATATCTGTCGTCACGTCACCTGCCTAAAGGCGTGATTAGAGRTGGCTYCAGCCAGGACACGCAGGGGCATGGTTTCCCATACTGATGTGTTGTATAGAGTGAATTGACTGAAAGGGAACAGCCTAAACTACATGGGGGTAACTTGTTATTGATCTCAAGGAAGCTGGGACCACAGTCACCAAAAAAAAAAAAATATTGGTAACACATGACGCTGTAATGGTGAGGCCAAATCAACTGATTGAAACATTCTTAACAAAAAAGAACAAAAAGGTGAGCTCAGCAACACCAAAAGACCTGGAAAACCACAGAAAACAAYTGTGGTGGATGTCCAAAGAATTATTTCACTGAAGAAGAAAATCCCCTTCCCAATATTTGGTCAGATCAAGAACACTCTACAGGAGGTAGGTGTTTGTGTGTCAGTCAACAATCAGGAGAAAACTTCACCAGCATGAAAGAGTGTTCACCACAAGATGTGAACYATGGAAAATGTGTAAAATAATACTGCAAAATGATCTAACATGAACAGGAATGGCATTTTCATGCTCAAGTAACAAAATTCAAGCCAAACACTTCGTAATGTTATCAGCAAGGATGGAAAAACAATAGTACTTTTCTTCAAAACCCAATTCACAGCCAAGAACTGTCTCATTTMTTTCAGAGTATCAATAAAATAGAAAGATTGAACAATCTCAAAGAAGAATGTGTGAAAGGGGTTTTTGCTCAAACTGCTCTCTTACCGGATTGCTGGAGGGCACCTCAATTACAGAGATGTGCATCTTGCTGATGTGGGCATTCAGACTCCCCAACTTCTTAAACACACAGCTGCAGTCCATGCACGGGAACAGAGGTACACCTTTAGTCTGTCAGAGAGCACAAACACACATTATCACCAGCTGCAATGCACATGTTTATACTAACAGTTCCACTCTGCAAGTCACTGCTACCTTTCAGGAGTAAATGTATGACTACATTGCCTCCACATCTGCCACTATATAACCCCATAGGTATAGATAAATGGTTGCAAACTTATAAGAGAGAAAAAAATTGCTATGAAATGGAACCACTTCCAAAGCTGACATCTACACTGAAAATGATATAAAGTGGTGGATATGTAGGAAACCTATCGAGCACACCACTTTAAAAAAGATTTGATGGCTTTTATATGAGACATAACACCGATGATGGAAAAATATGTGTTACAGATTGCACAAACACACACTGCTGTCAGAAGCTAGGAAAGTTTATGAAATACAGATGTTGCACTCTGGAAACCAAACAGGTACATATGGACTATGYTGGGAGTGCCAAGGCACAAGAGAGTGGAATAAGGTTAGTGTGCACAAATTTCAAAGAAACCTGAAGAATACGACGAGGCAAGAGGAAATATTCACACTTAGTGTATCAGGAGAAGCGTAAAGAAAA